AAATGTAATCCATCCCATAAACAAACTGAAAGGCAAAAGTCACATGAACATCTCATTAGATGCAGAAAAGGCCATTGACAAAATTCAACACCCCTTCAGGATAAAAGCTGTGGAGAGATTAGAGATACAAGGGACATACCTCAACATAATAAAGGCAGTTTATAGCAAACCAATAGTCAACATCAAATTAAACAGAGAGACACATACAACAATTCCACTAGAATCAGGAACAAAACAAAGTTGCCCACTCTCTCCATACCTATTCAATATAGCACTTGAAGTCTTAGCTAGAGAAATACTACTACTGATCAAGGGGATACAAATGGGAAGAGAGAAGTCAAAGTGTCTTTACTTGCAGATGATATGATAGCATACATAAATGGCCCTAAAATTTCCACCATGGAACTCCTATTGTGGATTAATTCTTTCAGCAAAGCAGTAGGATACAAACTTAACTCACAAAATTAGTAGCCTTCATATAGACAAATGACAAAATGGATTGAGAAAGAAATCAGGTAAACAACCTTCACAATAGCCTCAAAAATATAAAATATTTTGGGGGTAACTCTAACCAAGCAAATCAAAGACTCGAGACATTGAAATAAGGAATTGAAGACAGCAGAAGGTGGAACCATCTCCTATTCTCATGGATTGGTAGGATTAACATAGTAAAAATGGCCATCCTACTAAAAAGCAGTGTTTAGCTCCAATGCAGTCACCTTCAAATTTCTAACACAATTCTTTACAGACCTTGAAAGGAAAATTTTCAGCTTCATATAGAAACACAAAAAAATCCAGGATAACTAAAACAACTGTGAATCATAAAAGAACTGCTGGAGATGTCACCATCTCCAACTTCAAGTTGTACTGCAGAGATGTAGTAATAAAGACAGCATGATTTGGCACAAAAACAGAAATGTTGCTCAATGGAATCAAATCGAAGACCCAGACATAAATCTACACACCTATGGTCACCTGATTTTATATATATGCCAGAAATATACACTGGAAAATGACAGCTTCTTCAAATAACTGATCTGATCACACTAGATGACTTACATAGACGAATCTAAATAGATCCATATTTATCACTGTGCACAAAACTCAACTCCAAAATGGATCAAAGACCTCAATGTAAGACCAGATTCACTGAACCTGATAAAAGAGGAAGTGGGAAATAACCTTGAACTCATTGGCACAGGAAAAGACTTTCTGACCAGAACATTGTAGCAGAGGAACTCAGAATTTAATAAGTGGGGCCTCATGAAACAGGAAGCTTCTTCATGGCAAAGGACACCATCATTAGGACAAAGCAGCAGCCTACAAAGTGGGAAAATATTTTTCCTAACTACACATGATTGAGAGTTAATATAAAAAATATATAGCACTTAAACTTGATATTAAGAGAGCCTAACTAAACAACGGGGTACAGGTCTTTTTCAAAAGAGTAAATGCAAATGGGTGAGAAACAAAGATATATTCAACATCTTTAGTCATCAAAGATATGCAAATCCAAACCACTTTGAGATTTCATTTATGTCTGTCAGAATGGCTAAGATCAACAAAATAAATGACAGTGTGAGCTGTTGAGCAAGCCCAGTAAGGGGGACACTCCTCCATTGCTGGCGGGACTGAGAACTTGTATAACCACCGTGGAAGTCAGTGTTGAGGTTCTTCAGGAAGATCAGAATTGATCTACGTCAAGATCCAGCTATACTACTCTTGGGCATATACTCAAAATATGCTTCATCCTACCACAGAGACACCTTCTCAACCATGTTCATTGCTGCTCTATTCATAATAGCCAGACACTGGAAACAACCTACATATCTCTCAACAGAATAATGAATAAAGAAAATGTGTCACATTCATACAATGGAGTATCACTCAGCTGTTAAAACAATGAACTTTGTTGGTAAATGGATGGAACTAGAAAAAAAATCCTGAGTGAGGTAACCCAGGCTCAGAAAGACAAATGTAGTATGTATTCACTTGTATGTGGATATTAGCAGTTAAGTCATTGATAAGCAAGTTGCAATCTGTAGAACCAGAGGTTAGGTATAGTGTAAGGGACTAGGGGGTACAGATAGACATTCCCAGGAAAGGGAAATAGAAGAGATCGTTTTGGATGGGGTGACTGGAATGGGAGGATCAAGTAGGAAAGGGGAGGCAAGACAGGAATCAGGGAGGGAATATGAGGTGAGAGAGCTAAAACCAAGGGCCATTTGAATGGTAGTATGGGAACCCAATACAATAGAAGCTTCCTAAAATACATACACTTATGAAGGTGAGCTAAATGAAATCACTAAATAATGGAGACAGAACTGCAACTGGACACCCCTTATCACCAAATGAAGTTTCAATACCAGGGATGGGTCACATCTAATTGGGTTGCTGGTCCCATGAGAAACCCTAAATAACCCAGGCTACTGCCAAGGCTATGGGTTTGTAGCCATGAATTGATGGCAAGGCCCTATTTCTGAAGAAAACACCTACACAGCTTTGACCATAGAGAAGTACAGCTGGTGCCTACCTAGAGTGTTCCCTCTTACGTCCTAGTGTTTTGGGTCTGGGAAGGTGTTCTATTTGCTACCCTTTCCTTCCTGCTCTTGTCTCTGAAGACCCTGTTACTGCATTCAGATTTTTAGGGGATGATGTGGAGTTTTGCTTTTAAGTTCATGTGCTCATGATGACTGTTCCTGTCTTATTCTCACACATTCAAATTCAACTTCTTGCCTTACAACATCAAAAGCACTAGAAGCAATTGGAGTACCTCCCTCTTTCTTTCATTCCTTCTGCCATAGTTTTTCATGACTCAAATACTCTTTTATTAACTACTGGTCCATCATATTCAATGATTTTCCTCCCTGCCCCCACTGTCACAATTCTACAACAGTATCTAATGTACAAGTCTACTTTTATTGCTACTTCCTTTATTTTTAGTTCATAGTATCTTCATTCTTCAAGGCCACTGACCCAAGTACTTTGAAGACCAGCTATGCACTGCTATTTACCCCTCACCTGTTTGTGTTTCATTAGCTTAGCATGTTCAAAACAAAACTGTCCATCTCCTCGTCTAAATCAAAAGGCAACTTCACCTCTCTAATGGCTAAAGACGGGGTATCTCCCAGCATTTCCCTTCCTACAATACACATCAAATTCTAATGATTTTTTTTGGTTTCTCGAGACAGGGTTTCTCTGTGCTGTTTTGGAGGCTGTCTTGGAACTCGCTCTGTAGACCAGGCTGGCCTCGAACTCACAGAGATCCGCCTGCCTCTGCCTCCCGAGTGCTGGGATTAAAGGCGTGCGCCACAAACGCCCGGATAAACTCTAATGATTTTACCTTGGAAACTACATCAGGAATCTGGAGACCTCTGTTGCTGATACCCTCATTTGAGCTGCTATTGCCAAAGATTGTTTACTGGCTAGTTTTGTGTCAAACTGACATAAGCTAGAGTCATCAGAGGAAGGAGCCTCAGCTGAGGAAATTCCTCCATGAGATCCAGCAGTAAGGCATTTTCTTAATTAGTGATCATTGGTAGAGGACTCAGACCATTGTGGGTGGGGCTGTCTGTAGGCTGGTGGTCCTGGATTCTATAAGAAAGCAGGCTCAGTAAGCCACCCAGAGCAAGTCAGTAGGCAGCACCCCTCCATGGTCCATTAGCTCCTGCCTTCAGGATCCTGCCTGGTCTGAGTTCCTGCTCTGACTTCCTTCAATGATGAACAGCAATATAGAAGTGTAAACCAAATCCCTGTCTCCCCAACTTGCTTTTTGGTCATGCTGTTTCATCGCAGCAATTGAAACCCTAAGATAGATTGTAAAATCTTTAAAATCCATTCTTTATTTCTTCACTTGTTTCTGCTACAGTTTTTCCTCCCCAGTAAAACTAGAATGAGGTTTCAAAATCATAGTGACAAAATGTTCTGGACTTGGTAATGTCTCTACAGCCCTGTGAATACACTAAAACCCGGGGAGTTATATATTCTGAAATGAGTGAATCCTATGATAGATGAATTGTGTCTCGAGTGAAACAATATAAATCAAATCTGTCTGCCTAGATTCCCCTTCCCTTGCCTCATTTCTTTTTATCTAATTAAAGATATATGAAAAACAAGAGTGGTTATTTCTGTCCCTTGATTCATCTTCTCCTTGTCCCTTGCCTGGCTTTTTCAAATGCTTTCTACCACCGACTCTGTGTAAGCTCTTTAAATAAAAACTCCCTGAAGCAATGCCTTCGCCCTTGATCCAGCCACCCAGTGCTTAATGCAAGAACTTCTTACAAAGAGCCCCTGGCTTTTCACCCTTCCCCGTCTGTAAGCAAGCAGATGTCACTGACTCTCCATCCCCCCTGTCCCTGCACCATCCTGCCATCATCCAGTCCACCTCAGCACCACCTCCCTTCCTGCAGCCTCCTTGTCACACTATAAGGCAAAACCCATAGTTGTCAATGCCCTTTCCTTGCAGAAAACCTTTTTACAGCCAGAGACAAGAATTTTTTAAGACCAGACCCTGCTTTTGTCTTCAGGCTGAACTTTCTGCCCACCTGTTCCACAATCAAGGAAAACTTTCTCAACCACAGTTCTCTTTGCTCCAGGTCTTTGGCCGTGGTATTTTCCTAAGTGTACGCCTTTGCTAACTAGCACATGACAGCTTCTTCTTTGTCTTCCTTACCCTGCAAGGTTTCCCTGCCTTGGGTCTCAGCACTGTCCCTTGCACAAATGCAATGAATCCCCTTGTTTATCGGCCGATTTCTTCACTACAGAGCTTCATGAGACAAGACCATGCCTGTCTTACTCACTCTGGGTATGGGACCCATCCCAGGTAACATTTTCAAGCCATAACTGTCCACATGCATCCTTATCTTAAATCCCGAGGCACTTGCAGCCTGCAGTATTTTATGTAACGCTTCACTATGAACAGCCCTCTATCTCTCTGCTCTATAAACATTTGCAGGCAGGCAGAGGCTGATGTAGAAGCCCACAAAGTGACCGTTCTGTACCTGGTAAGTCTCGATGGGGCGATTTTCCATGTTGAGATCCCAGACTTTCACGGTCAGATAGTCTCTGGTCATGATATACCTCCCACTGTGGCTGAACTTCACATCCGAAATTGAGGAGATAATTTCAGAGAAAAACGATCTGTTGCTTGGATCTTCCGGCTCTTCAAAAACTGTAGGACAAAAGCAAAACACGGTGAGTACAGTACAGGCTTGTGAACAGACCTAAAGTTTGGGTCAGCCAGAGAGCTAACAGTGGATTCACAGTTCTATGCAGGGCGGGTGTCTGTAGGATATAAAGAAGTTGACAACAGTGTTTGCTCTGTGGAAACAGAAAAAACCAAAACAAACCCCAAACTGGTGGATTACTGTGTTTTCAAGGGTTTGGCATGGGGCCTGTCTCACACTCCGCTTGCTGTGACACTGTTTGTAAACCTCAGATTGGGATCCCATTTTCCCTCATCTCTGGATGTCATGTGTTTGCCCACATTTGGAGACATCTCTTTTTATCTTTTCCTTCTTTTCTCCTCTTTTCTTTCCATCTCCATTCCTTTCCTTCCTATTTTTATTTCTTGTTTTATGGTGTTAGTGATCAAACCCAAAGTCTTAGGTATGCTAGACAAGTACCACTTACCTAAACCCCAAGATCTTGGGAATCATTTTACATGCTTAAATGTTTTTTAGTTTTTTTAATAAAACATGTAATCTATATACTCTAAGGTATAATGCAAAAGTCCGTGGTTTTATGTATCATGATGCATTTTGCCATCTTACCACAATCTAAATTCAGATGTTTCTGTCAACTCCATCTCAGAACAAAACAAGACAAAACAAAAACCACCATAACAAAAACCTTTATTTCCCATTCCTGTACCTCTAGGCAAATATTAATCCACTTTCTGGGTTCTTTATGCTATCAATTTGACATAAATGCAACCATAGAACATAGGTCATTTGTGCCTGACTTAACATATCATACTATTTTCAAGGTTCATCATGCTGTGGTATGATTTTTGTGTGGCAAAATCATTGCATGGGATTACAGTATTCTATTGACCCACTTATAAGTTGATGAATGTTTGAGTTGTCCCCACTGACGCAGGTAATGGCACTGTGAATATTCATGTATTGATTTTTGTACAAGGACATGTGTTTCCATTTTTCTTGGACTGTGGTGTAGAAGCCCTTTGTTTGGGTGACTTAGGTGCCCCAGGTGCCCTTATATGTAAATGGTGACTGCAATGTCTTTCATGAACATTGTCCACTGACTCAGAGTTTTAGATTCTCAGGGTCTTTCTTGCCAGCAGTGGCTGATTTCCACTCTTCACTGGCATGACTCCTCAATACCTCACTGAAACCATCGCAAATGGCATCCAATTCTTCCCTCTAACTTACATTAGCTGTGTGGGCTGTATCTTTGAATTCTCCCTTTCTACACAGTGCCTGATGCTTTCTTCTTCATTGATTCATGTTCTTCACAAACACCCAACCACATGTTTTACCCGGAAAGATCTTTTCTTTTCTCTGACACCCTTATCCAGGAACTCACTCTGTAGACCAGGCTGGCCTGGAACTCACAGAGATCCTCCTGCCTCTGTCTCCTGAGTGCTGGAATTAAAGGCGTGCACCACCACACCTGGGTCTTATCACATTTTCTATTGTTTGAACACTGACTCACAACAATTGTATAATTTCTTGCATTATTGTTTAATAGTTCATGAGTTTGTTTTATCTCTTTAACTAGGAGGCAAGACTTTTGAAGTCAGGATTTTGGTTATAGTTTTCCTTGTACCTGTATAGCCATGCTGACAAATGTTCAATAAAGCAGTCTTTGACTTTTGGGTTCTTAGCCTGTGCTAAGTCTAACATATGCATTTGCTAATGATATTCAGTTATAAAAATGGCAGTTGCGTAGGCTTCACCCTAGTAAATGTTCCACGAGGGGCTGAGTTACAACCAAACCCAGGTCTGAGGTTGTTGGCTTAGCTGGCTTCCAAGGTAGCTTATTTCTTTTGTGTTCTTTCTTTTGTACAGGCAGAAGGCCATTCATTATCTAGAGAGCCCACGTGCAGAAGTTCCATTTCAAATCTTGCTGCATTAAACCGGAATCATATTCAAACGCTGACATCCACAGAACAATTTAAAAGAACAAAAGCCTTTTAGCAATGAGATTAGAACGTTTGAGCATTAGGAAATTCATGGGAACAGGATAGAGAGGGGCTCACTGTCTCAGGGTCGCGTCCCAGAGGGTCCCTGGGTGCAGCCACCACCACTACTGCTGTTGCTGCCGTTGCTGTCTCCCCCGCTCTTCCTCTTTCAGGAAAAAAGGCTAATTCATTTAATATACTGTTTGTAGAGAGTCATGGGCATGGCGGTATTAGAATAACCACCTGTAAAATCTGTTATCTTTTCGTTCTCTGTCATCGGCTTGCAATGGGGCCCCACCCTGTAGCTCCTGACTTCTGACTGGCACCCTCCTAGTTGTGTCCTAGCTTCCAGTAATCCTGCTAGACCTGGGATCTGGAAACTCCAAGCAAAGTGTCTCAATGGTGAGGAGGCCTGGAGAGTCGAGGAAGGAGGCACAGCAAGCCATATGCTGCACACAGTCTGTGCCTGCCCTCATCAGTGGCCGACTGGGTACTGCGATGACTGCTGTAACTTCAGTTTTTCCAGCTGCCAAAGAAGGCTTTAGCACATCAGGTTGCACATAGTAGAGCCTCAAGAAATGATGGTCAGTACTTTTATCGTTATCATACACTGATCTGTGAATGCCAGTCATATTTCCTTCACCAAGACCAAGCCCTCTAATTGGCTAGCCAATACCAAGTGGTCAGCCCCGAAATAATAATACACACAAGAGATGGTCAATGAAACCCATAGGACAGGAGGAAACAAATGTGGCACAGTCGCATGAGTTTAGATACAGTTGTGAATTGAGTTTTACCATGTGATAAGCCGTGTAGGGGGGGACATATAGGGACTGGGGAACCACTTCTGCTTCAGTGTCGGAAACGTTCAAATTCTGTTAAGAATGTGGCAAAACAGTATGTGCTTTCTGATTCCCCTCCAGAGATTCCCCTTGACTTGTCATTAGAAACCTGCTGAATTTCAGGGCTTCCAGACAGATTTCAGGGAAAAGACATGAAGGAGAAAAGAAGGGAACATGGTGGATAGGACAAGCTTTGATATCTACAAGGAAATGGTCCTGGTGGGAATCATGATAGCCTAGACCTGCTCAATGGGGATATGGCAGCCTCACCATCAGGACACGTGTATGTCTTTTATAGATGTCAATATAACATAAGCTACCATTTCTTACTCCTTAAGATCTGTGTTCCTATGTATGTGCCTATGTACCCATGTATCTGTGTACCTATGTATCTATTATCCCATCTAATGCTCAAATGTATGAGCTTGCAACTACCACTATTTTCATTATGGAACAGGGAACAGACCAGCAAGATTGAGCAAGTTGCCCAGGACCCTACTCCTGCCCACTTGTCCACTGTCCACCGTGGACTTTTCGCTGGCTCTGTCCCCATTACTCAGGCTGACCCACATAGCTCATGTCCTAGATGTGCTGAGTGTATTACCACCTGCATGGCTCGGTCGGACTCTCCTCCCCCTCCCATTCCCATCATGGGACACGGAATTGGAGTTCAGGTTGGGATGAATTAGCTCACTCTTAAAAACTACCTCTTGAGCGTCTATGCACTGCGTGATGTGAATTCGTTCAACATTTGTGAGTCTTTTAGCTTCTTCCCCACGAATTAACCCGTCAATACAGGTGTCCTCATGGCTGAAAGGAACACAGCCAAAATGTGAACTTGGTCTGCTTCCAGCCTGTGATTTTTCTTTATCCTTGTTACATACAGACATTCATACAATTATAAAAGCACACCATCCAGATTCAATTCAGTATCATCTCTGGACTATCATTTCACATCTACCGTTTTGGTTTAAATGTCTCATTTCAATGCCACCATCACCTTGACTTTTGGTGATGTTGACAGATGAGAGGGATGCGAAGGCTTGCCTGTGATGAGGAAGGAGCACACTCACATTCACGCATGGGTTTTACATTGCTCACTTCTGCTGACATCTCTTCCGTGGAGAAGCGCAGCTGGCAGGCTCCTCCATTAGGAGACAAGGTTGGCAGTTTCCCCATAGTGAGGCCACAACCAGCTGTTTCCATATGGGGCATGGCAGGTGGCAATTTTGCTTTGGAGATTTGCAGGCAACAGTTTTGCCCCTGGAGAGAAGAGGCTCACCAATTGAGATGCAGCCAGCAATTTCTACTACACAGAAGACATGTCCAATAATTTTGCTCAATGGAAGAACTGGCCCACAGTTCTCCCACAGAGGGTAAGAACTCCCTAGGGTTGCCAACATCAGCCTTTGCCCAGAAGAGAACCGTGAGAGAAATAGTCTAAAATTTAGTGAGTGGCTACTCAACCTAATATGCTTAGTGTTTTGATTTCCAGATGTGGTCTAGAGACTGGAATTGAGATCATATTCAGCACTGGAGGATTCAGAAATGGAAGCCCAGTGGCTTGATCCTTGTGATGTGCTTTTTATATACCCTGTATTGATTCCACGAATAGCTGTTCCTCAGTGAACACTGCCGCCAGGAGATGCACATCTCGATGGAGCATAAGTGTGCTGTGGAGTAATCCTCTTGTGCATGGTGAAGCTGTGCCTTTGCCAAGGCACCTTCTGATTGGTTTAATAATAAGGAGCTGAATGGCCAATAGGCAGGAGGAGGCTAGGTAGGACTTCCGGGCAAAGAGAAAAGAAGAGGAGCTGGGTCAAGGCATGGAAGGGATGCCAGAGGATACAGAGAGGAAGCAGGACATGCAGGAGGAGAGGAAAAAACCGCGAGCCACATGGAAGCACGTAGGTTAATAGAAACGGGTTAATTAAAGTTATAAGAGATAGTTAGATTCTCTTGGGTTCTAGCACTCCACCGAGGCCTATCTGGTCTACTTATCATCTGCTTCAGGACCAGGCAGAGAGAGAACAAGATGAACATACACAAGCAGTAGGGACAATGGTGCTGCTTGAACTGAGTGTCTACACCCCACACACATGGCAATTTCTGCTTGGCTCAGTTGATTGCTGCCAGGCAGGAGGGGTGTGGCTCCCACATAATCAGTGTGTATCATCTGATATG